GACGATTCATTACGGTTAGAGGAATCGCAACACAAGGTGAGGTATCAAGGGCGGTTATTAATGGCGGCGGTCACTTAGAAAACTGCAAGCCTATTTCTCACAATGTACCTTACCTTTCTCTGAAGATTTAAGCTGTCGCGAAACATTTCGCCGCTGGGGGAGTCTAACCTGCACCTTCTGAGTCATGCGTCCTCTTCGTAGATTCCGATTTTTGGGCAGCAAATTAAAAATTGAATTCCTCTGACACTTCAAATTCGAAATAAACAAAGGATAGAAGAGTAACATCTACATTAGCATAATTGGCGATGTATCATTTACTTGGTCACGTGTGGTAAGACGGTTCACTGTAAGGGACACGACCTCGGCCACTCGTATCGTAATAGAAAATTCGTATCGTAATAGTCGTGATCGTGTCAGTGGTTAAAGTCCATTACGCCACGCCTTTTACTCTGGTAGGGCCACGCAGCAGCCTCGGCTGTTGCACGAATGGGCAGGCTCGTCCGGGTAAGTACCGCGACCTCACAAAAGACCTGTGTGAAGTGCAAGTGTTATACTTCAGTGTTTCGTCTGATGAGTCAGGTAGCCGGGCCACATTTTATTAAAAGGCCGCACGCAACTGCAACCCTACTTTTGTTGCAAATGTCAATGGGCGGCGGTTATCACATGCGGTTAACATGGTGAACCGCCGGCATGTTTACCACATTATTAATAATAAAAAAAATTATATACCAATATGAGGCAAACATTTACTGCTTAGTAATTTCCTAAGAGTTTCTGGCCGACTGAAGATCTGAAACCAAACCAGAGGCGACTTAATTCAGATGTAAATACAAATGTTAAGTTTAATATCTTATCGCCACGTATGGATATTAAATTATTGAAGTGTATATTATTAGGTGTCGGTAGTACTTAATACGTTGCAGCTGCGTTCTGTATACACAAATTTAAAAGCTCTCGGATTCTAAACAATAAAAGTAGGTCGTGCAAATACTTATCTCTACCGAGAAGCGAACCCGCGACCCGCGAAATCATTCTAGCGATAACAACTGCATAAAAGGAGCCACCATCTGTTTGTTTGTTCCAATTAAAACGTTTCCTTGTCTACAGAGTGTTGGGCGTCTATGCACAAATAATGTAGACAAATACGCTAACGAGCCCCATTGGAAGATTATTTAGTTAGATTCTGCTGCGCTAGTTGGTGCACTTTTTTGTGCAACACAAAAAGTGTTTGTTGTTAGCGTTTTTTACTTGCTTGGCGCGGATGGCACCCAATAATGGTAAGTGGTAATGGGGGGTCGAATATTACGATACACTCCTGTTAACGGCTCGTATCTTGAAGTTTTAAAAATCGAAATCACTAAATCCCTCTAGTCTTTGTCAGCAATAAGAATAAAGGGACCAAATTTTTGTTTATGAACCATTGTATATACAAGTTTGTATGTACAAGTTTGTATGTAAAAGTATTTGTGTTTTGGTTAATTATTGTCGTATTTTAGTTACTTTTATTAAATTATGTCTGAGTTACATTGCATTTTTTTATGTTTACTGCAACATGTTTATCTACGCATAACATCTTATCAATGTCATAGTGTTTTAATCTCGTATTTCTGTTTTAAATACGGCCAAGAAGCAAAGTTAATTTTGATCATATTTTACATTCGACATTTTAGACATTTTAATTTCCTTTAAAATGTCTACAAGAATTTACTCTGTACGGTATTCGTATGTATAAAATTGATATGAAGTTTAAATTACAATTTCATACAAATTTTATGCACTCGATGCGGTGATATAACTTTTATAAGTACGTTACGGAGGAAAGATCCGTTCCTGGGAAGTTTGTGTTCTCTTTGAAGCCATACTTTGAGACGACGAGTCTCAGTAATAAGTTTCGCAAAGATTAAAGTTAGGGGAACGTTATTTATATTATAACGTACATGTTATAACTTAGTATATAATTATTTCATACGCTTGCATCCACTTACTATTTACAGTGGTATACACATATAACAACACGCCGGTCTCCTGTGAGGTCGCGGTACTTCCCCGGACGGACCTGCCCATTCGTGCAACAGCCGAAGCTGTTACGTGGCAGTACCACGTTAGAAAATTATAAATTATAATGATCATAGAAACTGTATTCATTTATCCGTAATCACATTCGCTGTAACTTTTAGTGTAAAGTGATCGATGGGAAGTTGGAAGTGGTGAGTTTGAATCAAGGGGTGGCTAGCAATATTTTGTCATTTCCCCGACCTGATTGTTGGACATTGCCCATTTTGTTCTATTAAGTTAAGGGATCGATTGAAAGCTTCGTGAATCACCGAATTACGCTGCAGCGTGACTTATTGTTATGTGAGAAACGAGCTGGCGGTTCACCTAACGTTAAGTGATAACCGTCGCCTATCGACATTTGCAATACCCGTAGGTGTACAGATGCGTTGTCACATTATAATAAAGTTGGCCACGGCTACCTCACTAACCAGAGGTATAACACTTCCACTTCACGCCTTGTTCTGTGAGCTCGTGGTTCTTCACCGCACGGACCTGCCCATTCGTGCAACAGCTAAGACTGTTGCGTGGCCCTCTACCACAGTTGACTCGCCCCTTAGTTGACTTTTTGATTCGTGACCACATGGTCTTTATATGCTTGGCATTTAAGCTTGAATCATATGTCATCAGTCCCGTGTAATGTGAAGGAGCTTAAGTTATATTTTTGACATAAACAAAATTTCTAATCGCAAAATGAAAGAAAAGGTTTCACCTACAGTGCAGCGCTAAACTTAGAAACTTTTCATAGACGTTCGTGAATACGTAATTCAATCCGATAGCCATTCAGATATGCGACTGCTTGTCGCTTGTTGAAATGGATATAAATAACTTTGAATCACAAATAAGGCACTCTGAGCGCATTGTAAGAGAAAAGCTACATGCATCACTATTTCTACATCGATTCGAGTCTGTTTCCGCCGTGAAGCATAGACACTTTAACATCGTTAACATCGATTGTTCGCATATTAGCGTCAACGTAAAGATTTAAGCGATCTTGTCGTTGAATCTGCTGGTTGTTACCGGAACCTTATGTGCCGCTAAGTTTCTTTTCGACTGCGATAAATAATAATAGTTTCATGTTGCACAAATATTTAGTCCGAAATTAAGAAACGCTCGTACTGTACTTAATGAATAGCTTGTAGACTTTTTTAAACATACTTATCTTTTATAAAGGACGGTGTAAATAGTGACCATGCGAGATCACTCCATACATGCAAAAAAAGCTCTGCATACAGCCAACTCAACCCTGTCTTCCCATACATATTACAAACACGTCCCAAAACAATGAAAGCCAAGATTCATAGTAAATATATGGTTTTATCGATTTAAATAAAAAAAACTTAACAGCATTTTGAAAGGTCACATCATTTAAATGACTTGTTACATTGTCATCAAACACTTAAACGCCCGCTTAAGCCCGGTTTATCTGATCATTAAGATCATTCTGATCAAATCAGTGAGTTTGACAATGCTTTTGGCAACGCAAATAACATTTGAAAACCCATTTGACAGCTGATTAGTTGACATCTACGATGATCAGTGTTTCAGAAACCGGGCTTTATAGAAACTGGTAAGTTAGTGCATATCCTAATCACTTAGAGAAACGGTAAGTTTTTGTTAGTGCATGTCAGAAATCTCTGTGACGACCACTGGTACGTCGTTACGTCTTCTCTAAACTCGCACGATGACGGCTGAATATACGGATATGATTTAGGCAGTTTGATAATAATTTATATAGATTGTAGAATTCATTCTCGAGACTGCTAACTGACAACACGGTTGCGTTCCCGCTATGGCAAGCGTTGCTGTAATCGGTGACGTAACAAACCATCAACTAGCGATTGCAATCCAGCACACTGGGATCCCGCAATCCAGCGGGATCCAGCATAATTTTAGGTACTGCAACAGCCTGCGGATCCGCAAGCACAAAATCACGCACATTCATTCAAATTTGCCGCCTTGAATTTTGATTAGCAGCGCTTAGTGTGACGTAAGTTGACGCGACGTTATCGCTGTTCATACATGCATAACCCGCTCCATGCTGAGTGCTGACCGCCACTTGTCGAGCTAAACAGTTTAGTCGCCATTTGACACTTACCATAACAACAAACTTTGTTGTTATGGTAAGTGCCAACCTAGCGAGTTGTAGAACAAGTAGTAAGATATTGTTGATTTATGTAATTTTTAATAAATATGTGGTCATAACATAACATATAATACTTATTTAAATTCAAAATAAAAGCTATAATTTTTGCGGGATGCCGCTGGATGGAAGTCAATTCAGCAAAAATCCCACTGGATTGAAAACAGTGCTGGACTGCAATCCCTACCATCAACGGCTCATTTTAGACTTTGGCTAATTGCCAGTCGTAACAGATGCCTCCTGCCAAGGCCCGCGAATGTCCCCTTTTATACGAACTGACCATAGATTGCCGAAATAAGGCGCATTAGAACAGAGCCATGATGAGAACTTGTGTAGTTTGACTCGATATTCTATCACGTGTGCCAAGGGTATATTCCTCATGATGGTTTGTGATTGTGCGCTCGCAAAGGCACTAGCTCAATGATAACTGTTTCATCTACTTCTTGTCTTGAAGACTTTTTATCATAACACCATTGACGACCCGAATGGCGTAGTGGGTACTGTGCCTGCCTCCTGCGTCAGAAGGTGTGGGTTCGATCCCCACTACGGGAAAAATATTGTGTGATGAACATAGTGTTTTTCCAGTGTCTCGGTGTTTATATACGTATAACATATAATAAGAAAAGTGTGTTTAAGTATGTTTATCAGTTATCTAGTACCCATAGTACAAGCGTTGCTTAGTTTGGGACTAGAGAACTTTGTAAAATTGTGTCCTAAAATTATTATTTATTCATATTTATAATTATGTTGTCTTGAATATGTGAAATATGTTTAATTAGAATCCTAAGGTTCGTTGTTGTTACAGAAAATGCTGAACTTGATCTCGGACCGACTCGAGAGACGCCTATGCGACGATGTGCTGGAGGTCGCCTGGTCCACCATGTGGAACGTAACCGACGAGACCCCGCAGAACTGCCAGCGGTTCCTAGAGAACCGCGGCATGGAGTACTTCCTTGCCTGCCTCAAGGTCAGAGCTCACGGCGTGATCCCTCGATTGGACGGCGAACGCTTTCAGCCTGGTGTACCCTACGTATCGGGGGGGGAAATCTTCAAAAGATACCCTGTCACGGTATGACAGAATATGTCGTTGTGTGGGGTTTTTACCCACTAAAACCCCATCGGTGGCCAACTACCGTACGTTTAGAGGTACTCCGGGATCTCCCATGGGACAAGATAATGTTATCCTACCGTGAAGGCGATGTTTTTAAAAAAGAAAAGAAAAGTGGCAGGGCCACGCAGCAGCTTCGGCTGTTGCACGAATGGGCAGGCCCGTCCGCATACGTACCACGACCTCACAGAAGACGGGCGTAAAGTGGAAGTACAATACTTTCGCGTTTCGTCTGGTGAGTGAGGTTGGCCGGGGCCCAATTTTCAAAAAGGTTGTCAACGTAACCCTCGGGTGTAGCAGACGTCCGTGGGCGGCGGTATTCACTTAACATCAGGTGAACCGCCTACTCGCTTGGCAACTTTCCACATAAAAAAAAAAATAAGTAAAATATGCGTAGTGTTATAATCGCGCGTCCACAGAGTTTCCCAGACAAGGAGGAGTTGCTGCGCAACATGATGGGCCTCCTGGGCAACGTGGCAGAGGTCGCAGAGCTCAGGCCGCAGCTGATGAACACCCTGTTCCTGGACGTGTTCTACGACCTCCTGGACTCGTCTAGCGACGGAATCGAGGTGCCCATTCTTGTGTTCTTATCTATGACATTGTTTCAATATCAAGCTCCGATTAAATAGGAATTCTTGATGAATAAAAATCTCCAATATAAATGAACTGCGTATTTGCTGTTGGTTCATAACTATTTTTGAGAAGGCCGGTGTACGTGCGTCTGGGACAGTGGTGGTGAGCGAGTGTTGCTTTGGGGTCGAGGTGCGCCTGCGATGACTACTGTTGCTGTTAGAATAGCTTCAGCAGCCAATGGCAACGCCGGACCGCGATGACGAGGAGTACGTCGACGTGACGTCAGGAACAGATATAGATGACGCGTGTCCACACTGCGTGACATTTATAACCTGGTCCCCACTACATTACTAGCGACCCGCCCCGGCTTCGCACGGGTGCAATGTATTAGACATATAAACGTTCCTCTTGAATCTCTCTTTCTAGTAAAAAATATCACTTCAAGATCGGTTGCAAGGTAATTTTAAAGATCTAAGCATACATAGGGACAAACAGATAGCGGGACGGCTTTGTTTTATACTTGATGATATGAAACAGATATCAGGGTATTAAAAATTTTTGCCGCATAGCCTGAAACTCGCATGGTCTAATTGAAAGTGTAGCACGTATAATTGAAAATGTTTTAAGAGACCTGAGGCAATTTCGTACGTTTCGCTTATGGCAGCTGGTTTTCAGTTGGCATTCGGGTCTATTTTAAATTCGGGCTTACAAGTTTTAATGAAAAGTCAACGGGGTCGGTGCCATTAGAAATGCATTGTTTGTGTAATTCAATCGGGAACTTTTTAATTGTTCGAGCGCGGCTGTGTACGGGCACCTACGCCCCCGTTGGCGCTCTTCTACGAAAAATAATAAAATAATGCTTCATTTCGTATTCGGAGTAGGAGGTTTATCGCCAGACGGAATTAGCAAGAATCGTGTTCGTTTTCTTTGTCCTTTAGTTATTTATATATTTATTACGAAAATAAATTCTTATTCTTACAACATTACTAAGTAACATGTTAATATGATAATGGTGTCCTTTTCACTTGTATACATTAGAGCTCGATTTTAAATCTTTGATTGTTATTGATAAGGCAATAAGGCAGGCAGGACTGCGCAACTGACTCCGATTGTAAATGCTGATGAGTTGCGGCCTCATGGCAGACCTACGCCCGGTTTCTGAAACACTGATAATCGTAGAAGTTAATCAGTCTTTTGGCAACTCAAAGGAAATTTGAAAAGCCATTCGACAGCTGATTGGTTAACTTCTACGATGTACAGTGTTTCATAAACCGGTCTTTAGTGTTCAACTTGATATCTTTCTTGAATCTCTTAGGATTTACGATCATTTGAAAACTAATAGGAATTACGTTTTAATGTGGCACTCTTAATGGACGGAAAAACGGTTCATGAATGAAGGACAGCTCGCAAGGTTCAAGATATGAGGGTCTGCTTTAATTAGTACCTACAAGCCTTACGCCCGGTTTCTGAAACACGGATCATCGTAGAAGTTTACTAATCAGCTGTCAAATGGCTTCTCAAATGTCATTTGAGTTGCCAAAAGGATGGTTAAACTCTCCGAATCGATCACAATGATCTTCTTAATCATCAGCATGATCAATTCAAATACTTTAACCATCATTTTGGCATTTGAAACACTTCTACGATGATCGCTGTCACAGAAACCGGGTGTTAGAGAAACATCATCCGTGATAGCTCAGTATTCGGCTCTTTTTGACTCAACACACTCTAGCTAACTGACCTCGAATACCCGTCCCGCCGCCAACGAAGTTTTTAATCTTCATACTCTCGAAAGAAGTCCGCCCAATGCGCAGTGGGGTCGCGTGTCGCTCCATCTAACTGTACAGAGGGGTCCTTTGCCCAGCGGTGGGACGTTACGTATGGGTTGGCTGGCGACAGGTAAGCTACAACGCGGCCGGTGTGCTGGCGCACATGGCGTCCGACGGCGTCGCCGCGTGGACTGTGGACCAGCCCTCCAGGGACGAGGTGCTGGAGCGGGTGGCGGCCGCGGTCCAGCGCTGGGACCTGCGCGCCGAGCGCAACATCAACTACCGCTCGTTCGAGCCGATACTGAACCTGTTGCACGCCCACCACACGCCCCAGTGCCAGCACTGGGCGGTGTGGGCCCTGGCCAACCTCACCACGGTCTACCGTGAGTAGATTTCCTTGTGCGCGCGTGGCAAACGAGCTGCCGGTCCACCTGACGCTAAGTGGCCGCCGCCCGATGTAAGGCGGCAACTCATCTGCAACACTGCGGCTGTTGCAGACGTAACGTAATAGTGTAACGCTTCCACTCTACGCCGGTCTCCAGCGAGCTGTCTACCCGGACGGACCTGCCGATCCGTGCGACAGAGAAGACTGTTGCGTGGAACTACCGGCAGTTAACATTGGCAGCCATTCTCCTTATCTAGATATTGAGATATTTTTTTTTTTTTTTTTTTTATGCGAAAAGTTGTCAAACGAGCAGACGGTTCACCTGATGTTAAGTGAATACCGCCGCCCATGGACATCTGCTACACTCGAGGGTTACAGATGCGTTGACCTTTTGAAAATTGGGCTCCGGCTACCTCACTCACCAGACGAAACGCGAAAGTATTTGTCATACTTCCACTTTACGCCGGTCTTCTGTGAGGTCGTGGTACTTACCCGGACGGGCCTGCCCATTCGTGCAACAGCCGAGGCTGCTGCGTGGCCCTACCACCGTAGATAGAGATAAATTCATTATAGAAGCGTTTATTGATTGTCAAAACAGTTCCACCGTTTCGGAAAGGAAGAGCCACTGACCCGAGATGAACCACCGAAAGAAACTCGGCGGTTACTATTTTTGTTTTTACCAATTATTTGACAATAAAATGTGGTTAATATTTAATAGGCCTGTTCAGTTGGATCTGTCTAATAATGGTGATAATAGTGAAAGTTAATAGTCAACGGGTCGAAGCAGTCGATTGGGGCAAAGCGATACAAAGTGATGCTTGAGCTATGCGTGGCCACACGGCTTTGTTTCACCTATGCGTAAAGCAGCATTTCAAGGACGGAGCAATTCATCGCAAACTCTTCTCTTGGGTGGGAGAACTTGTTAGACTGGTATGTTGGCTCTTCCCAGCCACGTGTGGCAAACTAAATTCTTTTTATAGCTTCTTTAGTCCTATTTCTAATCGCAAAATTATTATCATCGTCCCAAGTCAACTGCTGAACTATTACTCGATATACTCTAGAACAAAACCACTGCATTAAGAACGGCCCGCGTCCCTCGCTACCTTATGAGGAACGTCCTCTTCACTAGCAAACCTTTTGCCGATGCTATCAAAACCTGGCATTTAATGGGATATATCGTCATGGCATTTTTCAAAATTAAAATTGGGCAATTGCTATCATACTGTCTAATTATGTGGGTGGGGGTTGCAAAAAAATCAAACGTAATCTGTTCCTATTAACGGCCGGTTTCGACATTCAATCTGCAGATAGATATGATCACCGGCGATAGGTATACGACATTAGCCCCATAAAACTCAACGTCCAAATTCTAACTCCGGCAAGAGTCTATCTGTAGACCGAATATCGAAACCGATAGTTGGCGCCGCTTGTTTGGCGATCGCGCATTCACAAGCTAACGAACGCACCTTCCAGCGGACAAGTACTGCAGCCTAGTTGACTCGGAGGGGGGGCTTCGCCTGCTCAGGGAGCTGCTGAAGCACCCGGCGCCCTACGGCGTGATAAAGGAGCTAGCGTGCGTCGTGATCAACAACTGCGCCCAACACTCGTCGCAGCGCACCGGCCTGCCCCCGGAGACCGTCTACTACGACAACTAACTAATGGAGTTCTTCGGCGAGATGGACCCCGAGGTGCGCGAATAGTATAGGGCTCTGCGGCTGAGCTTCGCGCTGTTCTGGGCAGCGTGCGTCTCGGCCGCGTTCGCGTTCATCGTGTGGTACGGGCTCACCCACTAGGGGGCGGCCCTATGGTACGGGCTCACCCACTAGGGGGCGGCCCGCGACCATCTCCCCGGACGTGCAACGGACTCGGTTGTTGTAAGTGTTGTGCTAATTCGTGTCCTTCGCCTTCGAGTTTGTTCCGCGCACCGTTCGAGTTTCTCGACCGCGGTACGGGCCCCCGACGGGACTCGGATGTTGCAAGTGTTGTGCTAACTCGTGTCGATCGGCTTCGAGTTTGTCCCGCGCACTGGTTGCGCACTGTCGAGTTTCGCGACTCTGGTACGGGACCCCAACGGCGGGGACGGTGTTGGTACGGACGGACAGTGTTGCCGCGTTTCGACGCGTACCCGGTACATCTCCGCCTTGTGTTACTTCAGCGTTAAATTAGAGTTCGCAACGCAACAGTGTGGTCGTTACGCGGGACGATTCTTAATCTTCTGGAGTTTATTTGTCTATTACCTTTTCGTGCCTCTTTATATTGTACTTTATATAGTATTTATTAGATCTGTATAATTGTTGATTTTTTTTTATTAGTATAAATGTTGACGGACCGCTTCGTCCGCGGTAGTGAACGGGTTGTGTTTTAGTTGCACGATCCTCACTTCTACGTCCAGACCCCGCAAAGCGGGCTATGTTATCTGTGGACGGTACAAACCATTAACAATGGAACAGACATGCTAACCCTCGTCGACAATTGCGACGAACACGTCAGCTGTCAAAGGTCGATACCTACGACGATTTAGCGTGACCAAAGTACAGTCGACGACAGATACAACAAAAAATTAATATATATATAAATATATATATATATATATATATATATATATATATATAGAAAATAAGTGTACTTCGTTGTATAGTATTTATATCTGTTTGCAGTTTTTCAACTTTATGTAGTCAAAGTAGGTACGGAGATATATTGATAGTGATATAGAATTAATGCGCGCGACGGTATTCGGGTATAGACAATCAAATCAAATTAGTCAAATTAGTATCTACTGTTATCTAGAGCGTGTAACGATTTTTATTCTTCCTGGGCGCATGGCGAGATATCCTTGCTTTTTATCGTCTTAACATTAAAAGTGCCCGTTGTCTATCGTCTACATTCACACGACATCGTATACAAAAAATGTTTAATCAAGAATCTAGAATCCATACCAACTTTCCGACGGGAAACTGGCCAGGTTATATTGAAACGCATCATATGAAGCAATGATATAGATTCTATTTTATGTAGTCCATTTAGTATAGACGCTCATAGTGAATCGCCGCCCTTAGGATTTGTTTATGTAGAACAAATCAACTCTTTCACTTTATTGATGAGGAACCACAAAAATTTCCGCCAACTCGTCTTAGAAGTTATGCTACAATATTAATAGAAAAAATTAAGTCTACGCGCTCCTCGGCAATACTCAATCTCAAAGATATAGATGATTAATTAAATTTAAATTATTAACACTCTGTGCCAACGTCGGTCGAGCACATACTTATACAGTAAGAGCACGCACATTTACATCGTTTTCGCACCGTACCAATGTCAGCAGTGCATTAGTATGAACGTCGCAATTGAACGCGTATCGTATTTATGAAGATGCACACATTCACATCGCGAGTCCAACACTTTAATATGCCGGCAAAGAGCGCGAATACATTTCATGAGCGGACTTAACTTAATATCAGTAATATCGGCAGTGCAAAATTTTATCGAAAGCCGGCGTGCTTATCGGCGATTTGAATCGGCGAATCCGTGGATTCGTAGCGGTGGTAACTTAGAACTAAGTATGGGATAATTAGATCGTAGTGTAGTTATTTCAATTGTGTTATAAGCATCACAAAACATTTTGTCGTCGCATCTCTTAGCAAATAAATATATATGTGCATTAATAGTTATACATGTTAAATATACACAATATACGTTATGTTATAAAATAGTATGCAATATTTAACCGGAATACCGTTGCCCTGTTCCATTCTAACTTCCTGTTTCTGTTTATTTATAGGATCAATTGGATTGTGCTGTTTGTTAGCGAAGTTTGTGCCTAATACACAGATTTTGCCGTATTATAATTATAAATATATGTATATATATATATATATATATATATATATGTATACATACAAAAATATTAAATAATAGGTGTTTTTGTTATTTGAAATTCAACTTATTTACAAAGAATGTTAACGTTTCTGATTCTAGAAGTCATACCTCTTTAAATATGTGGTTTATAGAGTTAATATGTTATAAATAAATATATAACTGTCGATTGGTGTTTCACTTCTGCCTGCGCCAATGAATTTTTGGAATAGGTATAACAGGTACTCGATTTAACCTATTATAGCTCACTCCTAATTTCATTCACCGCGAAGCAGGTTTTAAATTAGCATTTATAGTACCAATTTATTTGTTTTATCGAAGTTATAATAAATGTTATCACAAACACTATTTGTAGTTCAAATTTGATTAAAAATACCCCAGGATTTTTAAGGCATAAATCGTTTTTGATCTTTGACAAAAACCTTTGACCGTTTATTACGTATTGTATATAATCTAAGGTATCGCCTACCTGCGTACGCAGAGTACATTATTAATACAGGGAATAGAGTTAAATGTCCTTATGAGACAGCGCCATCTTTTGATGCTTGAACTACTTTACTATTACTACAAATCTAACCATTTTCTGTGGCTAGCCAATACACAAAGCAGTGGCGAACTAAAGCCCGGTTTCTGAAGTTCTCCTTTAAACTCAGATTAGCTATTAGTTCAATAAAGTTATGTATAATATAAACGTCGGTTAACTATCACTGCGTTTCTAACAATAAATTTATGGAAGGTGAATATTTAGTATGTAAAAAGAAAAAAACTTAATTACAGAAACTTAAATACAAATTAAAGAATCACTATTAATTAATTAGATAAGGCAGATAAGCCTTCTTGATAAATAAAAATGTGCAATTACGAAAAAAAAACCTATCAATTTGTGTTAAATAGACTTGAAATTAATTTATACTACTGAATAAAAAGATTTTATAAAGTTCGTAATCGAGTTCCGAAATCGATATTAGTATATTGGCTGTATTGATATTTGAGTACATAATTATAATCATATATTAAATTTAAAAACAACTATTTCCCGCTCTTTTTAATTTCCTATTTAATATTCGTATTTGTAATGGTAGATAATATGTGCGCATCTACGAGAACTAGTAAATTGTGTACCTACATATTGAAATTTATATTTTATTTCTTTTTATAAAACTTTATTAGAATCTCAATCAGATCGTTCAGTACTTTTCAATTTTTTTGTGTCGTCATGTGTGTAAAAAGTTTTGTTTGTTTAAAGTGTGGACAAGACTGGTAAATCACACTGTGGTAATGGAAAATGTTACCACCGAATCTCATGGTCACATACCTGTCTGTTCCGATCGTACGGTGCACAGCATCAATGTTTTTGTTGTTCACGACGAACGAGTGACCATCGCGAGATTCGTCACTGAGATTGACAGAATCGCGCTCGAATTCCGCAAACCAGCAATAAATAGTCATCTGGCATGGTGCTTCATCGCCAAAAGATTGAATTGCAGAATCGCCAGATTGAGCAGAACTGCAGCAGTACTGCTGAACTGTCAAATTACACTTAAAAACGTAGAAAATCAGACTGCGAGTATTTTCCCAAGTTAAATCCATGTTAATGTTGACACGCAATTTTTAAAATGGCGCCACAATATTAAAACCGTAATTGACAGTCAGATGAAACAAACTGCATTCTACAGCCAAAGAATTCCATTTTCCACTTAAAACATTATTCTAATTGTCCTGGTACATTTTCAATTTTATAGGATTATGTTCGCACCGAATTTGTTCAAAGTTTATACGGTCTGCTTTACAACATACAACACAAACAACATTCAACAATAAATATTTGTAACGGGTGTGATATAGCTACAGCTCGTAATTTTTTTATGATTGTTATTTTTAATGCGTCTCTGCTCTCAACTTTTAAATTGTACTTTTATTTTGACTGCATGATTTGTAACAACCTGTATTTATTTACGATGGAACGGCATACATAAACGTTTTTAATATCTACCCTTGCTCTCAAATCTTTATTAATCGAAGTATCACTTCTTGTAGATGAATCTAAAGTGCAAAGCACATATTGTACCAGATTCTTTACCCCTTTATATACAATCAGTATTATTATAACGCCTTCTTAAGACAAGGCTTACTTACCTGCTAAAAGGTTATATATTCGTAACAGAAAAGAAAAACAAATGCTCATTTTTATAGAAATATATTGCTTCCTATGGAAAATACACAATAGTCACTCATATATAGTATAATGTAAACAATTAATGAAAGCACACACAATGAAGAAATTACAAAATTTATTACAAAAGATATAACAAAATAAATGTTGACATTTTAGGAATACTTTCAGGTTTTTAAATTATTACAAAACATATGTACCTGCAATCAAATATTCCATCCTAATATCAAGAAGTTTCGCGAAAAAAAACTTTATATAAAATGTACGGGAAGGCTTTTCTAAGTGTATCCATTTTTTTATTTGCAAAGTGCCTAAATTTTCACAGGAGGCTCAGACTAGGTAGTATAATCGTTTATTGAAATAAAAACAAACTTTTTTTTCAAAAGAATTGCCATTCTATTTCCTAAAATACAGAACTCGTTGACAATGCGGTAGTCATTCTTAAATACCTACTTACCTAAATTTTAAACGCAGAAAAAAACAAAAAACAAAGCGCTCGCGATAAATTGGAGACGACCCGTGCCGGCACGGCGGCGGCTTTCAAAGCAATGCGGCATAAAACTTCGTACTCTTCCCCTCCACCCGCCGCGTAACCGATGGAGACAGCTCGTTGACCAATTAAATAAGAGTCACGATCCTCAGCAGTGAGGGAACGACTAAGAAGAGTTTCTGAGCATTTTTTACGCCGGTGTAGTAAATTGTCCAAAATCTAATAACCTTTGGTTGGCCGCCAAAATTGTCCGTCGATTACCAACTCGTAATACTCGCGGTTCTAATAACTGCCTTGTTGTTTCGACATTTAGAGATAAGCAAATCTAAAAATAGTTAATTAGGTCACGGTCAGATTGAAACTAACGAAGGACAGCGGCCGCATAGAGCGGTCATCGCGGGCGGGTGTATGGGAAAGGAACGAAGTTTTACAACAAGCCTTTGGACGCTGCCGCCGGCGGTCTTTCCGAACCATTACCTTCAAGAAGAGAGCATACTCTTTCTTATAAGGCCGGCAACGCATTTGTGAGTCTCCTGCTCGTTTCCCCTAATTCTAAATTAAAAAAAAATTAAATTAAAAAAAAACACAGTTTTTTTATTACTCACTTTGACACAAAGTAACGACTTAAGATAAATATACCTAATAAAGGATAAACCAACCGGTTTTCTTTATTTTGAGCGTGGTATCATTTTCAGTGCCATTGCCGTTGAAAACCTTTGAAAATTGGGCTCCGACTACCTCACTCACCAGACGAAACGCGAAAGTATTTGTCATTCTTTCACTTTACGCTGGTTTTCTGTGAGGTTGTGGTACTTACCCGGACGGGCCTTCCCATTCGTGCAACAGCCGGGGCTGCTGCGTGGCCCTGCCACCGTGGAAAGTGCTAACTTGTGTACAATATCTTGTACCTTTGTTTTCCATTTTTTTTATTATGCGAATAGGAATTGAAAAATTGGTATTTTTTTCCATTAGCGCCGTATGTTTTTCGACCTAACAAAACATTTTATTTGGTAGAGAAAAATCTGTATTGAAATAATCAACAAGCAATTCACTGGTCGCTTATAATTTTTGAGAGAAAGAAATATATTTAATTTTTTTAAATTATTTATGATAAATACATTTAAAACATGTTATTTTCACTAAGAAACTTTGCCATATTACCAATTTGTCTTTAGTACCAGTGCAGTACACAGTACCTACTGCGAAAATGATAAATGTAGAAAGCGGACGACGTCATGCACGTATCGATTGTAAAACAATCAATTAAATATTTTTAAATAATTTAATAAGTCACGGCGAAGCTAAGAGGAAACCACTGGGCCGGCCTGAGGTGCAAGGGCGGCCCGAGAGGGCTGCTCCGAGTGGGCTCATTGAGCCCACTCTGAATGCGTGCTGGAGTATGCAGGGGACTGGTCGAGGGTGGTAGATGTGGAGCCACTTCTGCTACCGAGGAGGAGTCGCGGGGAAAGACGAGTGTTGGTATTGCGTTGGCCGTGCTCCCTATCCTCCGCGACTCGGCAGGCTGCACCGCTGATGCAGCGGTGGTGGGGCCGCGAGAGGAGTGTCGATATTGCGTTGCGCCGTTCTCCCTACCCTCCGCGGGTGAAACGTTGTGAGCGGTGGAGCCTCAGACCAGGGCCGCCACTGGGGGCTGGGAGGCTTGTTGCTTATTACCACTGGTTATAAACAATTAAGTGAAGTAAAATTACAACTTTTTTGCCATAGATTATTTACCTTAGTAAAATGTTAATAAAGAAATTAACAATTTTTAAATATTTCCACCGACAATCTAACTCTACATGCCTTTCCGAATCGAATGACACCTCAACCATAATTTTCGGAGGAGGCGAAAAAATTTTGACCCAAAAAGCTCTCATTGACTAGACTCTTAGTTTAACTCTTACTCGTTTGGCTGTAATTTTATTTATAAAGATTTGACAACGGTTCAACTTGAATTGCTTTGCGAACGTCAAGGAATACTGTTTATAAGAGATTTTGCCAATGGCGTTGCAGTTCGAATTTATCCCACTGCCAGACAAGTAGTCGCTTATGATGCACACATGATAGCTAAGAACACGAAATTAGCGTATTAATTGTGTAAATACGATGTTATTCTGTGTGATTGCGCAAAACAATACATACTTATGAGAAGGCAGCAATCGCGATTGATTTGCTGTCATTATCTGAAAAGTTCTGTTGTCTATCTCCGAAACTCACCATCAGATCTATATGAAATTTATATGGGGACATTATAAGAAAAATATACACATCAGAATTGATAATCTCCTTCTTTTTTAAGTCATTTAAAAATAACGTTTTAAATAAATTTTTAAAACTATAAGCGACCGGAGAGGTCTCCTTGTTGATTATTTCATTAGTGATTTTTCTTTATCGCATAAATTTTTTTACGTCGAAAAACACCTAGCGCTATTGGAAAATTTTACTCATTTTCGTTCCATAATTTATCCCAATTTTCGTCGCGGCTTATCTCAAGATAAATGTCTTAGCGAACTTCTTTCTATTTATGATGTAAGCACCGAGTCAAACAACAATATACCGCTGGTATTCAGAATTCCGACGCGGTCGTGTGTCCGTCAGCGTTGTTTTTTCTGAAGGTCGATCAAGAACAGCGGTCACGCCTGAAAACATCGCAGCTGTGCGAACTATTACATTAAATGACCGTCATGTGACATACGAGCAGATTCGGGCTGTTATCAGTATCGGAATGACTACAATTCAGTCGATATTACATAATGTACGTAAGAAAGCTAGTTTCCCGCTGGGTTCCCCACAATTTGTCCGAAGAGCAAAAGGCGGCTCGTGTAGATTGGTGCCGGAATACTCTGCAATGCTTCAACGTAGAGAAGTGAAATGCCGTTTATAATAACGTCTCAGGTGACGAATCATGGATTTATTCATACGAACCTGAAAGAAAACATCAGTCAGCAATTTGGGTCTTCGAAGACGAGGTCAAACAAACGAAAGTGGTTCACTTCCGCAGCGTGTCAAAGAAAATAGTCGCTACGTTTGTCCCGAAAAAGGGGCATGTTGCTACAATACTACATACGCATAACGGTTACCGCTGAGTGGTATATCACGGTTTGTTTGCCAGAAATGACAGCCGAACTCCAAAAAAATAACCCGAAACATGGCATCATCCTATATCACGATAACGCAAGCATTAAATTGTCAAAAAAATCATTTGTCTTCCGAGCCGTATGGGAGGCTACAAATATAATATAGGCAACAAAAAGAGAAAGTTCCGAAAAGTATTGAAGACAATAACTTTCTTTTACAGATATGTTGTCATTATTTTAGCTTTTGTGAAGATTTTGTCGACCAATAAGCTTTTCATAAATCCCAATAGCGACTGGGCCTGGCAACATACAACACAAGAACATTGAGGACTGACGAGATCCCATCAGCCTCCTCAGTTCCCATCAGCCTTCTCAGTTGCCTGGGGAAGCTCTACGAGCGGCTATTATTAAATAGGCTCAAAGAGCACGTATTTTCCAACGGCCTTGCCGGCGGAACAATTCGGCTTTCGAGCTAGGCATTCCTGTCCCCACTAATTATACCGCCTAACGGAACACATCCTGAAAGGCTTAAATTATCCGAAACATATACATATTAGCACATCATAAACATATTAGCACGGGGGCTCTTTTCTTCGATGTCGCAAAAGCATTCGACAAGGTCTGGCACAACGGCTTGCTTTACAAGCTGTACACACTTAAAGTGCCAGATGGGCTCGTACACACCATCCGGGCCTTCCTGTCAAACCGATCTTTTCGTTATCGGGTTGAGGGCACCCTCTCCACAAGCCGCCACCTCACGGCAGGCGTTCCACAAGGCTCCTGCCTTTCACCTTTACTCTTTACGCTCTACACGAGCGACATACCCAAAGACCCCACGTCAATCTCACGCTTTTCGCGGATGACACGGCGCTCTTTTACACAGATAAAAATCTTAATCAACCCACTACTCGTCTCCAGAGCGCTGCCGACCGCCTCGGCGATTGGTTCCGCAAATGGAGAATAGAAGTAAATCCCGAAAAGAGTGTGGTGATCCACTTCACACGAAGTACTTACCCGTCACATCTTTATAATGGCCCTCGCCAATGCAGAAAGTTGGGGCAAATATCCCTTTATGGCCAACCGCTCCCCTGGGAGAAAAAGGTCAAATACTTAGGAGTCACTTTCGACTCGCGTATGTCATTTACTACGCACATTAATAACGTTCGTAATCGAGCCGCGTTCGTCTCCGGCCGGCTACACAATTTAACTAACGCTAAAAGTAAAATGCCCTTAAGGCACAAATTATTATTATATAAGACCTGCGTACGACCTATTATGTCTTACGCATGCATGACCTTCGCCCACACGCGCCCTACTCGCTTGTACAAGTTGCAAATAGTACAAAATAAGTTCATCCGCCGCGCAACCGGTGCGCAGTGGTATCAACGCAACGTCGACCTGCACAGCGATTGCAGACTCCCGACGATTCGCGAATATTTTAAAGACCTGACCAAGCGGTTCTTCGATAGAGCCGAACATCATCCCAACCCTCTGGTGGTAAGCGCAGTTTTGCGTTGAAGTCATCGGTATCGGTCGAAAGCGCGTTTGGCTGCATTTTTCTGCCTAATTAGGAGTCGCAGGTCGGGCGGAAAGTTAAACCGTCGATCGCCCGACAGTTTAACCGTCCGTTCCGAGTTTGCGACTGTGGAAGTGATGGTTTCTCGGAGACTTGCTATCGCTCGATTTGCGTCATCGAACGTAGCTATCGTCTCGGGTAGGTCGACTAAGTCCTGGGGGTCCAAGGCCTTGAGTTTGACCTCAAGACGATGCCAGTCCACTACGGATTTGGTCGGAGGGACCGCGCCGGCGTTCTGTTCCATAGGGACACGGGTTCTAGGGTGCCTGAGGCGGCGTACGTTATGCACAGGGTATCCCTGAGTGCGGATGTCGGTCTTCGCCTTGTCGACATCCGACTCTTTGGGGACGCCCTTGATGACTCGGGTAGTTCGACTAAGTCCTGGAGGTCCAAGGCCTTGAGTTTGACCTCAAGACGATGCCAGTCCACTAAGGATTTGGTCGGAGGGACCGCGCCGGCGTTCTGGCCCAGTTTACACAGGACGGGCCTGTGATCTGAGTCTAGTTCATGGATTGTCTCTATCGACTCGATGTCGAGCGAGACCTCATTGAGTAACATGATATCTAGGATACTCGGTGTCGCGTGTTGGTAGTTGTCCACCGTAGGATACCTAGTGGGAGTCGCAGGAGCAATTATGCTAAAGTTTAAATTATCGGATAAGCTAAAGCGATGCTTTCCATTGTTATTTGGGATGCTGTGGATGTCCCATGAGCCGTGATTGCAGTTTAGATCTCCTGCAATTATCACGGAAGGGCCTAGGTTAAGTAGCGTATCTAGGTCGCTTTGTAATAAGGTTTTGTTCCCCGAGAGGTAGGCTGAGACTAGTACAAGCGGCCTGTGGCCGGTGAGCGCTAACCTACACGCGGATGCCTCTATATGGCTTAGCTCTGGAATGTCGAGCGGGCTACAGTGCAAGGACCGTTTGTAATAAATTAAGGTGCCTCCCAGACGGTTTGCTAACCGGTCGTGGCGGACTATGTTGTAGTTTGCGATTCTGGGATCGCGTACACTAGGTTTTAAGAATATCTCTTGCACTAGAAAAATATCTATGTTATAATCGCGAAGGAATTCCGCGATTTCGTCCCTTTGACCCTTTATGCCGTTTGCGTTGAAATACGAAACAACCAGAGCCCGAGGTTTTGTTCTACCTGCGGTTGTACTTCCCATTAAAGTTTTTTATGAGTTCTAAATAACGACGCGGCGGAGCGCGGTTTTATTGCGCGGACTATTAAGTTTATGGTTGGCTTGTAAATGCCCAGAGGGCTTCTACAAGCATTTTATGTTCGCTAATGGCTTTAAATCGCGCGTTGCCAGATGTGGCGGCCGCTATTTTAGCGGACAATAAGGCGAGTTCTTGTCTATTAATGCGGTCTAATAAGGCGCAGATGTTGGCAATTTGGGCAAACGGGTCGTCCTTGTTTTCGGCGAAAACCGACGGTGTCGACTGCACCTGCGGCGTCGGCGCCGTTTGATAGGCGGGAGCGATTGGTCGTGAGGCGACCGGGGGCGCAACTACTACCTGCGCGGCCACCTGGGGTTTCGCCCAGGCGTTTACGACGGGTACGGGCGCGGGAACGTATTTCACGGGCGCGGGTTTGGGCAAAGTAGATTTCGCGGGAGTTTTTGGGGCCTTAGCGCAGCCCCTGTAGCTAGCCGGGTGGCCGGTGGTATGACAGTTAACGCAGTCCGGTGGATCTGCGCAATCTTTTGGCCGCGTACAATCGGGCGTGCCGTGGTCACCGGTGCATTTGACGCACCTAGGGTGAGCGAAACAATTATTAGCCGTGTGGCCATAGTGTTGGCAGTTGTGGCACTGCGCCACAACTCCCGATTTTCGCGGGGGCTCGATCACGAGGTCGCTGAGCCCACAGACCCTCTTCAGGTTGAAGATGGCCTTACCTTCCGGGGTAGGGTCAAGTTCAACCATCACCATGTCCATAGGGACACGGGTTCTAGGGTGCCTGAGTCGGCGTACGTTATGCACAGGGTATCCCTGAGTGCGGATGTCGGTCTTCGCCTTGTCGACATCCGACTCTTTGGGGACGCCCTTGATTACTACCCGAAGTTTTCTTTCTTCGGGCAAAGAGTAGGTGTGGAAACCTATCTTGTATTCGCGCAAGTACTTAGTTACGCGACGGAAGTCGTCCGTAGTGTCAAGGTATACGCGGATACCCATATGCGTGTTTTTCGACCGGGGGTCGCGGATATTGTGGCGTTCAAACCACGAACAAATTTGGTGCCACTTAGCCTTCTCGTGAATGATGATGGGTGGAGGAGGCTTTATTTTTTGCTCGGAGGCGAATTCGGTCATCGGTTTAGCCACCGCGGCCGCCTTTTTAGCGGGCGTCGCGGTGGGACGGATCGTTGAGGCGGCCTCGCATTCGGGGTCGCTGTCGGCAGCGGGGCGTTTTTGCCCTTTTTACGCGATTTAACGACGGTGAAGCCGTCGGCGTTCGCGTTTTCAGCGGGGGACATTTCGACCTCCATGTCCGATCCGCCGTCCGATTGTGAGTCGGGTACGACGGGAGCTTCTAAGGTCGCGGAAGGCGACGGGGTAACGGGCGCAGACGGTGCGGGCAATGGCGGCGACGCGATTGCCGGTGAAGGCGGGCTGTCGTTGGCGTATTCAACGACTAATCGTTGTTCGGATTCGAACGCTAGGTAGCTTACCCAAATGTCGGGACAGCGTTGTCGGACGAACTCCTCGAAAAGGGAGCCCATCGTAACGTATGTGCCTTTGGGGCTTAGGCCCCGCCGGCGTGTGTAAGCTAAATAAGCCTCCCCACCTTGCGGCAGGGAGGAGTGTGCCTAGAAATAACAATAAATTTGCCTGCGCTTTAGGTGCGCTAGGATGGGTACCTAGCTGTCGCCTATTGCAACCAGCACACAGTTAATAAATGAAACAATGCCGCCTCTGAGGCGAGAAGTGTGTGTAGGATTCTACTTACAAACAGGAACTTGCCTACGAGCACAACACTACACTAACACTGAACTACTGCACTATTTGCACAAGATTGAAATTGCAACCGAGGTTGCGAGTGGCGTCTAATTCGGGTGGCATGTGCCCTCCGTCTTAGAGAGACGTCCGTTCCGTACGAAAGCACGAAGCGGAATGCTTCCATTCTTATACCGTATTTGTAGCAACGAATTAAACAACGATATGCCAGAACCATCTAGATACAAGGCCTTAAATTTAATGGATAACTTCACTTGTAATACAAATTGTGTCATATGTTCGTAAGTTGCATTTACATTTTGCAACAGACTCATTGTACAAATTATACCTTTATCCGACTAAAACAATCTTACCAATTGTAATGTTTGAACTCACCTTTAAAGGCAAACGAATCCAATTCCATATACAAAACTTAGAACTGTATTGGCTCCTCTTTCGTGACCAAGTTTTGTTTTGAATCCTCCATCGACTCTATACACATTGGCAAATTGCTTCCATTGCTATACTGTTGAGTGTTAGACTCCGATTGAATGTACTGATTGATTGATTCATTCAACTCTTCTATAGCTGCTGACATATTAAAATCATCGCTATCCATGAAGTCATGCTCTGTGGTCAACTGATCAACATCTTCTGCGCCCGTTGCCTGATCTAGCTCTATTTTAGGTGTGGCATCATTAAGTGGCATCGGTTTGATGTTTGCGAGAGTACAATTATGCGAATTGAGTAAAGACGGGCACGCAAATGTTTGCTCGCAGACCTGGCACTGGCTACTGTGTTGTGTTGTGCTGTGTTGCAAAATCTTGTGACGTGTCAAAGTCAAAGGCGACGAGTAGTTTTCGCCGCAAAACTAAAAAAGAAGAGAAAAATATATGTATAATTCTTATTTTTCCTGCTAAAATCGTCGCCTTTCAATCGACAAAACATTACTATTCTGTATCATTATACAGACTACAATTGATATTGAATAATCAACAAAAAATAATACAAAACTGTAAAATAGGCGGCCTTATCGCTAAAAAGCGATTTCTTCCAGGCAACCTAGTAAAAGGAAATAAAAGAAACGGTAGTGTACATTTTAAGGATGTATATTGAATTGATAACAGAAAGTAATAAATTAAAATATAAATATATAAATAATAAATTATAAATAAATATACACTACAAACACCATACAGGGAGAATATACAAGAAGTGGCCAAATTTACACAGAAAGTTCATACTCGGTAGTATAATCGTTTATTGAAATAAGAAGAGATATGTTGAAATGAATATATATATTCATTTCAACTTACGCTGTATTTATATAGTACCCGGAGGACCGAGCTTTGCTCGGTTTGTTTATTTTTTTGGTAATTCGTGTATTTTTTGATACAAATTACTGAGTAATGAAATATGCATAATATTTTTCGATCTTACCGACTTAATAATAAGAAAATATGAACTGATGTTTTTCTCAAAAGAAAGAACTTTTAAAAAAAGGGAAAAAAATAACAAAAAAATAAATCGATAAAAAATTAAAAATAAAGAAAGCGAAGCGAATGATCTGGAATAGAAAAAAAAGTAAAAAAATAAATGTGTAAATGATGGTGAAGCGAACCACGGCCTTCTGTTTTGGAGCCGCCCGATTACCTACCGAGCTATTATGACATTTTGTCTTGCGGCGAAATTTACCGTCATATTCGAATAATATTTTTCATTCCCTGAAAACAGGGATAAAAGGACATTTTCTGAAAATGAAACCTAGCTAGATCGATTTTTCGCCCCCAAATCTACGCATATACTAAAATTCATGAAAATCGCTGGAGCCGTTTCCGAGATTCCGATTATATATATATATATATATATATATATATATATATATATATACAAGAATTGCTCGTTTAAAGGATAAGATATATATATATATATACAGCGCGTCGTTATCATCGCGACAATAAATGAACACACGTCTAACGCTACGTGCCAATAATCATAAAAAAATATTAACGTTAAACAAAATCCATAATTTTTCAAACAAACTAATTAAGTAAAAAAGAAACAAAATTTGTAACATCCTATACAACTCGCGCCACAGCGTCGTATTACAAGCCTCTCCTAACACTATGTTCCGTCTCTTTTAAATTCATTCAACCCATTCATATGCTTTGTGACCTTTACAAATGAACTTTGTAAAGAAAATTGAATAACTCTGTAAATATTAATTAAGTAGACAGACAGGTAGATATTAGGATATCTTTTGATTTTTCATACCTTTTTGAAGTCGGTTAAAAATACGCGTCGCCTTAACAACCTCCTCCTCCTTATATTAATTTGGTTCTTTCTTTTTGTTAATTTTTTTAAATTAACCATTTTTCATTTCGAAATAACAATTAAGGCTAACCTATCGATCATCTCTAGTTGCAAACATCTATATTTACTTTAGATTCAAACCTCTAGAGAGACAGGTAAAACAACATTCTATATTTTCTTAAATTTACTATATTAGTTGAAGAGTTATAAGCATTTTTATCATAATGCGGCCATGCGCTAGAGGTAGCTATTTAAACAACCAGAGAGATAGATTCTGTAAAAAGACATCAAGGAGTAAAATGAAAAAATCTTTTTGTGTTTATCATTTACTATTCCCCAGCGTTTAAGTTCTAATGGATATATTAAAACTTACACACTGGACAGAATATAGTGACGTTTTTATAATTTTATTGTTAAAATCTTTTGCTAGAACAATAACTAAGGTCTAAAAATTATAATATTCTGTTTTGTTGCTAAACATATTTTTATGTTATTGTTATTTTGAAATGAAAAATTTGCATTTTCAAGTGAAACAACGGAAGCATTGAGAGTATGCAAATGCACCTAGAAGAGGAGAGCAAATCCTTACTAATATTATAAAGGTGAAAGTTTGTATGTATGGATGGATGTTTGTTACTCTTTCACGCAAATACTACTGAATGGCTTTCAATGAAACTTCACAATAATATAGCTTATACATCAGAATGAGACATAGGCTATAATTTATATACATATTTTATGCATATCAGTATTTCTGTCTGAATGTTACGCCTTCAGCATATTCTACGCAGACGTAGTCGCGGGCAGCAGCTAGTTATCTATATATATATAAAAATGAATCCCTATTTTCCTTGGTCACGCCATCACGTGTGAACAGCTGGAGACACTTTTTTTTGTTGTGTTTGGTCAGGAGAAGGTTCTGATGATATATGATAAAAGAAAAAATTTAAAAAATTGCCTGAAAATGTCTAAAAACTACACTTTTCTATATTCCCGTACAAAAGATTTGTAATAATACTTCAATAATCTTAATATTTGTAATAATAAGTCAATTTGAACTTTAATACCATACCATAAAATTTAAGTGTTAGTGGAGAGGGTCCGGGAAGGCAAAACAAGTGAGTGACTGTGGTAAAATGTCTCTTGAAATGTAAACATCTCTTTGCTGTGCATCACTACATAGCATAGAACAAAGTCGTCCCGCAGTCTGTCTGTCCCTATTTATGCTTAGATCTTTAAATCTACACAATGGATCTTGATGCGGATATTATTACTAGCTAGAGTGATTCAAGAGGAAGGTTCATATGTATAATACATTGCACCCGTGCGAAGCCGGGGAGGGTCGCTAGTGTTCAATAATTTGGGTGGATTAGGGTCAGAAGAATCCTCCTCCTTTATGTTAATGGCTAATCACATAAAACACATCGCAATTCACAAATACTGATTAACAGACAGACAATAAGAAAGAATACAAATTTAAAGTTAAAGTTAATCAGCACTTAAAGGTATGGACAGAAGAATATACCCAACACTAGAAAGTACTACACTAACACCCCATTTCTGAAACACTGATCATCTGGTAAGAATGATCTTCTTAATAATCAGAATGATCAATTCAAAGCGTTTAACAAATCCTTTTGGCAACTCAAATATCATTTGAAAAGCCATTTGACATCTGTTTAGTAAGCCTTTGCACAAATCTTGTTTTTATTAAATTATAAACTATGGTCTTAATTTTATGTAATTGGAAAAAGTAATATTTAAAAAGACAGTTACATTAATAGTAAATGTATGACGTACATACCTCACAATTGTGCTTTGAAACTATTGCTTCTGTAGAAATGGGATTCACTATGGCCTTTTTTGGTGGAGCAGTTCTTTTGGAAGAATTAATTTTATTTTTTTTTTCATAATATTTTTGGAGGTAGTATAATATTCTTTTATCAGCCAACAATTTTTTTTGCATGGATGTATGATCAAAATCATCAACATCGATGACTTCTGTTATTGCTTGTTCAACAGAAAATTCTTGTACAATATTGTTTTTGTTATCTTCAATAGTATTTATTACATTTTGCTCCTCATAAAAAATTTCTGGGTGTTTTTCTACCTGTAATTGGGCATTCTCACTTGCTGTGTTTGGATCTGAAGAACATTTGTGTTGCAATATGTCAGTTTCCATATCAAACTTCTTCAAACAGTGATAACAAAAATAATGATTCATGTGATCGGTTCCAGATTGATTACTTAAATCTGGCAGGACTGATGTGTGGGACTCTAACACATCTTTTTGAAAAGAACTTTCAGGGCAAGGGTTACAACGGTAAAGGATATTGCTTTCTAAATTTTGGAATGTATTTAATTCCTCAGGGCGCTTTTCTGTATGTAGAAATGTTATATGGTTAATCAAAGCACATTTATTTTCGAACTGATCCTTGCATATATCGCAAACAAACATTGTGGTAATGTGTGTGTAGCTGTGTTCAATCAAATCTGAGAATTTCAAATAATGATCACTGCAAGTCTGACAATGGTATGTTTTTTTGGTTTGACATACAGAACTCTTATGCTCCATGTATTGAACCTTACTTTGCATTAGGACACCACAAAGATCACAATGCAGCTTAACGTGATTTTTGAATAGGATCCTATCTAGAAATTTTTTGGAACAGTAATCACAAATGTAGCATTTACATTTTCTATGCTTCCGCCTGATATGCAGCTTTAAACATTTATGGTTTTTGAATATTTTTGTGCACTTTCGGCATCTGCGGTAATTATTCACCGGGTGAACTATTACATTTTCTGAGAAGCTAACCCGCTTCTGTGAACACTTGTTGATTTCAGTATCATCTTGTCTCTTCGCTTGCTTGTTTGTCTCCTTCGATTTGCTTGTTGTGACCGCGCTCAATAACCTAGACTCAACATTATTTTTTAATTTCTCTGAATCTACCCTTACTAACAATACCGAACAATGGCGTGCAAGTTTCTGCATATGTAAATTAATTTGTTTAGTTCCTCCGCTTGCCGCATTTATTTTTAGTTTGTATTTTTTTCCGTTATCATTGAGAAGAGGTGTAATATTGCAGCGCTTCAATAGAACTATTGGTCTCTTAGAGAAGCCGCGAAAGATCTTTTCCCTCGAAAAGATTTCTTCGTCTTCATCGAATGCTACTGGCGTTGCCTGTCTGTCCGCCATACTATTGAGGATATATTTTGTTGAATAAATATGTTTACCTCCACGTTCGAGCGACACTGGAACTTGAACATGCAATTGGTATTAAAGAACCAAACAATATTTATTTTCTAAATCACAAACAAGTTTATGTCAAATTCAACAATCTCATCCGCATATGGAAAATGATAACAAAATATGTTGTTTTTCGAGCTAACGAT